CCTTCTTGTGTGAGAAGCAAAATGTCTTCAAAGAAAAACCAGAAAGTCCAATTGCCTCTTGAAAAAAAATATGGATCTTTGGAACAACCATGACCTGGATGACTGAGAGTCTCCATAGATATTTTCCTCATAGCAACCCTGTCTGGAAGATTGAGGGCGATTGGGTTAGAGGCTAAACTACATTCCAATATACCCCATAAAACTTTATAGAACATTCCAGTAGAGAAAAATACTCCGAGAAAAATCTGTCATGTAGATCAACTTGAAATGTTTTCCTGGGTAAGTACAATACAATCTGAAAAAAAATATGAAGTAACTAATGGATAGAAAATTTCAGAAAATGTGCTTGAAATGTATAAATTTCATTACTTTCTTAATCTATAGACTGCATAAAATTATTTAAGATTACTTGAAGCCTGAATGACCAGAGGACATAATTCAAGCTGAATGACTATTGGCCAAGAAAATTAATCCTGAAGTTCCTGAAAAACAAGTCTCATGTATTTAGTGGACTTTTTAAAAGTGGTAAGTTGTCTCTGAAGTAAATTGTCTCTGCAATTATTGTTAATAAATTCTCTACTTATTCTGATGTAAATCCTACTATCGTAAATAGAGCTTACTCCAGAGGTGGGTTGTTCCTGGTTCGGCCCGGTTCAGCAGAACTAGTAGTGGCAGCAGCGGGAGGCTCCACTCACATACCCGGATGTTTCTGTGCATGCGCAGAAGTGTTGCACGTGTACAAGCGAAGCAGTAGTAAACTGGTTAGCAACCCACCACTGGCTTACTCCCAGATAAACAGTATTCAGGTTGATTGCGACTAAATTAATACATCGAGATATCAATCTATGGTTATCATTTAACATCTTCAAACAACAACTGCTTATATCTTATCCTTGGGAAGGATTTGATAGGCAGAATAAAAATGCCAAATCCAGACTAAACATCTGGATGATTGCAACAAACCATAAATAAGGCAGCAGCAATAAGTGAACAAGAATGAGGAAATAGGGAAGAGGGTCCTAGGTTCTGGGAGAAGGCCTGCATGGAATGTAGAAGCAGGTATAAAAAATTTCAATTCATAAATAAAAGACAAATTATAGTGTTATTTGGAGACACAACTTCAGAAAAGGAAACGTACATTTGAAGCTCAAGCAAGCTAATCTATGTTACAGTAATAATATATTCAACTAGACTTCTAGAATTGTCATAATTCATTTAGCATAACATTGATTTTGTCTGTACATATTTGGAGCACTTTACCTGGTCTTAATCACCCAGTTAATTCTACTATCCATTTGGTGCTTAGGAACACTTAACACTAATAAATAGATTCTCTTTTCTTATGAAGAATATATGGGGGAAGAGCAGATGCATTCTAGCATAAATAAGTAAAATGAAACAATATGAGTCACATTAAGACCTAGTTTGTTCAACATGACAAGCAATGTTATAGTTTGATTTGTTCTTTGTAATCTGTAATTTGTGATTTAGTTTGTTGGCATCTAGCCAATTAAAGTTTATTTATCAGACCAGCAAACCATGTCATTTACCTGCTATGTTAATGTGTATGGATTGCATGCATTCAATATGTGTGACTGCAGCTGTACTATCTGTCATTCTTTCATCAGACCTACACTTTATGATGATAGTCTAATAAACTAATGAGATAAGAGTATTACGACAGCAGTTGTCATAAAAGGCAGGCAAGAAAATAAATGTGACTAAACTGGTTAGCAAAAGGACAACCGGGAAGAACAAAAGATGACTAAGAATCATGCTGGACTAGGCTTTGGAGCTGCTTGAAGGCTTGTTTGTTCCTACTCTACTTGGGCTGAAGAGTAACAGAGTTGCCTGAACACTGCAAAGTAGTAGAGAAAGGAAATGGTAATCTGCACCAAAGGTCCACATTCTGGAAGACAATTGAAGATAATGGTCTGCCAGTCTGAGATATTGCCAACCAAGTTAATGGTTTCACTTAACTCTACAGGTGATAGAAAGAAGAGTTGGAAATAGCTGTCTGCTGTAGAGTCATAATGGTGACTTGGGAGGAAAAGGATTAAATTTGCAATACTGGTACAGATAGCAATAAATCACTCCTGGATTCCTATTCCTTTATGACTGAAACAGAAGAATGGATGAAGGAAAATACTGGTTTAACTGTCTGATTATAATACCGTATTTCCCTGAAATAAGTGCTTGGCCTTATTGTTTTTGAGGTACAGGAGGCGGTGAGCATAGACACCTCATGGCTGCTGCTGTGTTGCAATATTTTTGGGGAGGGATTATTTTAGGGGGAGGGATTATTTTACCACATGCACTCAAAAGCCAGATTGGTCTTATTATCCGGGGAGGTCTTATTTTCAGGGTAACTGTACTATTTATTTATTTATTTATTTATTTATTTCTGCCTTTATTATGGCAAACATATAATTAATCATTCGCACTTAAAGACAAAACCAACATCTTCCTGTCTCTTTGTGATTTACCTGAGTGGTTTTGGGCCAGTCACTCTCAGCTCAACCCACATCAGAAGGTTATCTGAGTGCCTGACTCAGTTTGCTGGTTTGCGTAATGTATTTAACCTCAGCAACGTATGGAAAAGTAACAATTTATGGCTGGCTAATCCTATTTTTTTTCCAAATAAAATAATCAATTAATATTCAATTACCCAACTCTGTTTTTCTGTAATAATAAAATAAAAAGAAACAATTGGTAGCAAAGAAGGAAGAATTTACCTTGTATCTCTACAATAGTAAACAAGCAGCACAATCTACTGATAAATTCAGCTGGAAACCTACAGCAATGTGTGAGAACCACCCAGAAGCAAAAGCATGTCTTCAGGCATAGTTTATTTACTTAATAATTTCCATATATTTCAGCAGTGTTTTCTCCGGTTAATAATTTCCTCAGCACATTTTTTCATAGAAGTATTTTGCCATTAATATTGGCTTTTTACACAGCAAAGAAAAAGTATTTCTGACCCTTTGCGTCGAAGCAACACTGACACAGTTGCATTGCTTCATCATATAATGCACTGGAAATATTTTTTTTTCCTTTTGTGGGTGAGGTGGAGCAGGAAATAAAATCATTTCAGTAAAGCACTAGTAGATGGTCATTTGATTGTTATTAACCAATAGTACAAAAGTACCCTTCCAGAAAATGGACAATCAAATAACTATTACATATTTTTCCACACGCACATGTAAAATAACTGTTTTGGACATAAGCGAAAAGACAGTTCAGCATTATATGCATGAGCAACAGTAAAACTTTGGAATACGTTTTTGGAACTTTGATAAGAGAAAAAAAAATGTTCTCAAGCCTTTCTTTGAACTGGCAAGGAAGCTATTCATGATCTTCACATAGTCTGAAGTAATTATAATTATTTGAAAGAAGTTATCCAAGGTTTGCTGCTGTTTTAGAGCCCAAACTTTGATAAGTTGCCAAATATAATTTCCCTTTTTAAAAAATCTGCACATCTTTTTTTTTACTTTTAATAAAAGTTTAAACAACTTATAAATTAAGCACAGCTATACTAGGAATAGAACCTCTTATGTGATCAGAACATTCAGAAATATATAGTCCCTTAGTGAACTTGTATGTTCACAATTTGGTTCTGAACAATATTTTTTTCTTCCAGAAAACCTGGTGAAACCAGTGAAAAATTAAAACAATTAAAAATAAAATACAGGTTTTATTTTTAAAAAATCAGTGTATTGTTTGAGCTATTGAAAGTATTACAAAGCATAAGTGCTAAAAAGCAACTCTTAAAAATACATGTTGAGCAAATGACAGAATTGCTACTATGATTGTTTTGATTTTTACTCCTATAAATAAATGTTCCCTAAATATGTGTGCAAACGCAATCACAACTATGATCCCAAATCCCAGGACAGGTGCAATCAGCTTTTTAAAAAATCTAACTCTTATTGAGCTTCTGTTGAAATTTGGACCACATACATTATTTTGAATATGCATTGAGAAATCAGAGTTAGCATAGCTAGTTAGTGTTCCTTAACCCTATGTAATCCATAGTGGCAATCTTAAAAATGTTCATAATATAGTAAAGTATGAAGTAATTCATGTATTGGAATATCTAAGAGATAAACTATTCCTATATATAAAAGAGCTGTAAAAGAGCTAGTTTGGTTTACTGCTAAAACTCTGAACAGTGAAATCTAGCCACACCTTAGGAACAGAGCCAACTGGATGACTTGGCTTCACTTATTGGCCACATAGTCCAAAAGGTGTTTTTCAAAAGGCTAATGGTGGAAAGAATATAAATATAAGAATATGAATCCTTCCATTCCTCACCATTCAGTCAGAATCAAAGAAGTTTGTTGGATGAGAAGCGAAATGTTTTCAAGGAAAGAACCAAGAAAGTCCAGTTGCCTTTTGAAAAGACTCTTTGGGACAAACATGACGTGGTTGACTAAGAATCTCCAGAGACATTATTGACCACATGATTAATAACCGCAGTGATTCACTTAATGACCACGGTAAAAAATGATTATAAAATTGGGCCCAGTCATTAGATGACTGCTTTATAATTGCACCAATTTAGAATGAATATTCTGGTCCAATTGTGGTCTTAAATCCAGGACTACCTATATGTTTTAATGTAATGTCTGCAGATAGACATCGGGTAACAACAATAATTGGGATGAGGAAGTCCATCACTAACCAACACGGTTATAAAGTGTGTCACCTGGCATTTCCATGTGAGGTCATTAGGCAAATCCTGTGTTTGTTATGATGTCACATGGTTACCATTTGTGACCTGCTGGTTTCCCCATTGATTTTGCTTGCAAGAAACCAGAAATATGGTTGCAAATGGCAATCACATGACTACAGGACATGTCATGCAGTCATGTGATTGCATATAGTGTCATAATTGCAAGCTAGTTGCCAAGCTATAGCACTTAAGACTTATATACTGCTTCATAGTGCTTTACAGCTCTCTCTAAGTTGTTTATAGAATCAGCATATTTTAGTGAAGGATGGAAGGCTGAGTCAACCTCAAACTCCAGACTGTGGGCAGAGTTAGCCTGCAATACTGTATTCTAACCACTGCATTCCCAGGCCAGCACCCAAATTGTGAACATGTGACACACACACACACGAGATGCCACGACAGGTGCAACTTTAAGGACCATCTGTAAGTTGCCCCATTCAAAACTTTCATAAATTGCTGAATTAAAACTGTTGCTGAATGGGTGGCTATTAATCAAGGACTATCTGTATATAGAACATAGGTCACTGAATACAGCACATCTAGTTTTTTAATATGCAGAAAAAGTGATCTTTTTCAAGGTCAAACCACTAGTCAATTGAATGGCTGTGGCTGTTACTTGAGGCATTACATTAGGTTTTGCCATTCTACTTCCTGAGGTCTTTAATTAGAAAGAATGGGGACTAAGCTAGGAACTTATATACTCTCTTACTAAGCCATCCTTATTACTAGCCTGGGTATCTTTTTTCTTGAATTACAGATGCAAGTCTTTTCTTATGCAGAAAAAAAGAAGAGTAATATAAAATAAGCATAATAAAATTATGTTAGAGTTGCTAAAATGACCTGTAAATGTGGATTTTTTTCTGCTGACTTCATATTGAGCTATGATTACGCAGCAGTGGGCTGCTTGGAGGCTATTAAGGAAATGAGCCTGGAATAGATAATGAAAAGATAAGCCTCTTTTTGAGTAAATATTTTAAAGTATGTCATTAAGTTACATGCGTACTATCCATAATGGCCAAAGAATTATTTTATGTGTGCCTGAAGTGATTTTTTAAAAAATCTGTTAAAGTTGACAATTAAGCTTGACATGCCATCTATGTTGTTTGAAAAAGCTGTTTTTGAAAATTATTTCCATTTTAAGAACTAGAGTGTAAGTGGGTATAGAAGTAGGAGCACAAAGTTCTCTTAAGCAGTCGTAATAGCTGTGGTTGGTTTAGATTCTAGTTAAGATCTCCAGGCAGTCAATTCCCTGGCTCAGAAGTAAGAAAGGGGAAAAGTATAAAGCAAAGCCTATAAGGAATTATTCCCCCTGAATCAGACCCAAGCTTCAGAATGTAAGAGTATTCCATTTTCTTTGAGAGAGAGAGAGAGAGCAGCTGATGCTTTCCTGGTCCCACAAGCATTTTTACTTGTTTTTCTTTCATTTTTAGAAAACAGAACAGTAGAAGCTAACTTTTCCCAGTTTCTCTAGTGTCTTGGCTAAACAGCGTTGCCATTACAGTGAAAATCTTCACAGTTTTTAAAGCTTTTAATCACACTTTAGAAAAAGTTTGGAAAGGAAGACCAAAGTATCTAAACACTCATGAGCAAAATAAAATAAAATAACTCTATGGAATCCACTGATAATTCAAAGCACAGGTGTCTTTAAACCACAAGAGGTATTGTCCAGTTATTGTAATATGAACCATTGTAACATGTTTTAATACTAATATCAGGTTGGATTGTTAGAAGAATTGACTCCTGAGAAAAAAAAATGTTTAGGCAGAAAAGGGTCCATTTTCAGCTGCTGCTGTGGTAGTTTTAAAAAAAGCAATGCCCGTCTAGGTTTAGAAGGGATATTGTGATACATAAATCCTCAGTCGAATGACAGAACTTCCTCTGAAATTGATGACGGTGTTAACCGTGACCATCTCCAGGTCCAGCACCATATCACGTGGCCCCTTCAGAGGACGGGTCATCACAAGAGTGGCACTGATAGGTCCAGTTTGCTGCATGGAGAAAGCCAAGGAAAAATGTTGAAGCACTTCAAGCATAGGATGCGGCCAAAAGTTGCCTTCTTAAATATATGTAACAAATCATGGCTCTGTTATGGAAGATTTATTTTTGTTGGTGTCTGGAGGCTGTGACCATAATCACTATGAAGAACACTTATAGCAGATCTGTGCCAAACCAGAGTGTGGTGTTGGTACTGAGCTAGAATGTATTGGTTGGGGGAGAGAGGATTGCATCTGAACTGAGTCCTGCACCAGCAGTTTGCACTGAAACCAAGTTGCCATTTCACTTCTATGGATCTAGTGTTGGATAAATGTGTGAATGCAAAGAACTGTGATTCACATTGACTACTGCTTTTTCTGGTTCCTTTTTTTTAATTGTCTTTATTTGCTGACTGCTACTAATGTTCTGCAAGAGTTGGAGTAGCAAATAGGATGGATATTTCCCTGCCTTGTGAGGAAGGAACAGATTGGGGAAATAGCTCAAAAGAAAAGAGGCAGAGGTCAACGGAGGATCATATTTATTTAATAACTGATTATTTAAACAACTGATTTTTCACCTGATTTAGTCCCCAGTAGCTGCAGACACAAAATGAAATATTAGAGCCAGTCTTGGTTTCCAGGGAGTGTATAAATTTAGTTTCAAAGAAATAGGTGTCTGAATTGTTCCCTTGCTTCTTTCCTTCTTTCACTGATGGAAGCATTTGAGAGGGTGGAAATTGCTTTGTCAAAGGCCACTTAAAATTACATCCCCATCTAGCCCTTCATAGTTTGCTGGGGGGAAAGACTTTAATTCAAGTTCTGGAGAAAATTAAGACTCTCTCTTCTGCATCACTGCCTATTCTAAAGTGCTCAAAAATAAAATGAGTAAGGTGGGAATTCCATCTAATTAACACCATTTTCCCAATTAGCATATAGCTCCCTGAAAAAGTCACAAACAGGTTGTTGTGGAGGTAACATACATGTTATCTCCAGTACTTGCTGAATAAAGACAACTCTTCCTGTGAATGTCTGAAAATGTCTTTTTCTTTATCTCAGGTAATGGCATTCATCTAGTGTTCTTTATAATACGAATATTTTTGTGATTTTACTGTTTAAACAGAAACCTTAAAATAATACAGATTATTTTGAAAAGAAGACGATGAAAGGGTCTATTCGTAAATCTCACTCACCCGCATATAGAATTCTCTGCCTTCATTTCCTGATTTAATCTGAAAGATGTAATAAGCACCAGGATAGCGAGAGGTTGCTTGCATCTGAAATACATCAGCGGGCACAGTACGTCCTGATACATCCATGTCTCTGTACAAGATGGTGAATGGCTGGTCTCTACAGCTAGGGTTTTCAGTCGGACATATACAATGACTGATAGAACAAAAAGAAGAATACTATTATTATTGACTATGGTTGCATAGTTAGCCAAATGTCTAGGTGACACTTGACATTTTTGTCCATTTATCAACTTACAAGAATGTGGTATATTTTTAATATGCTTTTAATAAAACTTAACAAATGTATTATGGTGCATTATGGTGAACTGTTATATCAGCAATAATTTCATACTTTTATTGTTTTTGCTGTTATGATCAAATTAATATAAGCAAATAAGGATGCTACTTTCTTTGTTGCTGAACAGCAAACACATGAGTGGTATTTTTATGCTGAGATAGTTAAATCTTGATGTATCTGTTTGGATGTTTTAATATTTTATTTTGTATTTTATTGATCTACACATTTTGCAAATGGCCCAAAGATTTGTTGTTGTTGTTGGTTATTGTTATTAGAGTATTGTGTTGTTATATTATCCAGGAGATCACAATGCTATTGCAGAATAGTAGTTTGGCTACCAATTTACCAGCTCTGTTGTGACACATGCTTATGCACTTCCTATGGTGCATCACAAGAAGGCAAGCTGGCTTCATATCAGAAAGAAAGATAAACCGCTTCTGAGCATCACCCAAGGCCCCTTTCCTTCCCTGGAGCTGCCTTGCAAATGGCGTCACAACCGGGAAGATTCAGATCCAGCAGGAATCTGACTGTCTGCACAAAGCACCAACTCATCTCTCCACCAAAGTGGTATCTATTTATCTACTATTTATCTACTCACATATAACATGCTTTCAAAGTGCTAGGTGGACAGAAGTTGAGGCAAGTGATGGAAGTTCACCCCATCTCGCCACAAAGTGTTAGTACTTGAACCACTGAAGCAAAGTGTCAATAAGCTACTAAGCTACCACGCCTCTCAAAGGCTTGGTCAGTGGATGATGTGAAAATATAAAGAATAATATTAAGAGTAAAATATTGCAGAACATAAAAGGATAGTTTTCATTTCAAAAATAAGATGACAATCCTTGTTATAATGTAACATATATGATAAAAAAATGAAAGTAAAAAAGCTTATCAGGTTTATTCCATAACTTATTTAATTTGGTCTGCACAAATTATTTGAGCATAAATTATCGTCAAAATATTTAGTGTTTGAATTCATAACTCTAAATTCAGGCATAAATCATTGCCTGAAGAAACATTTTAAAAATGTTATTTTCCATTTCTTTTGTTTCTCTAGGTGTTTAATTATGTATATGAAACTGCACTTTTAACATTGAAAAGAGATAACAGACGACTTGTTGGGCCTTTAACAGAGGTGGGTGATAAGCAATATATTAATAAAATTATTACAAAATATCACTAATTAAAAACTGATTTGTAAAGGCAATTTTATATATTACAGGAGAACATGATTATGGTAAATGCTCATTGTTTCTTAAGCACTTCTTCTATTTCACTTGTAAATAGGTGAGTATTCTGCCATCTGGTGACCCAATAAAGAACTATTTTATAAATTTTTATTATTGAATATTTTCATTCTGAGAGGAGAAAACTTGAAGGAATGAGCTTAGAATGAAACTATGGAAAATTACAAACCATGCTGACAAGTATTTTGTACATTTGAAAATGCTAGTTTAGAAAGATGTGCATATCATAAAAACTGCATTTTTAGCTATTTGCTATTTCATATGTTAAACAGCAAGAAACTGGATTTGAAAATGACTATGCACTGAACAATACAAGCCTTGATATCTTTAGGAAATAAATATTTTCAGTCATTGGTCAATTTCACATTAAGTTCATCTCTCAAAAATAATAAAAGAAAACATTCTAAAATTAAGATTGAATAGGATTAACTACCAAAAATAGGAAGTGCAATTTGAAAAGTAACCAATTTGAAAAGTAACCACCTTATACTGTACAATGTACTTCCTGGAGAACATGATTGCCCTAATTTTTTTTATTAATATATTACTCACTTTTCATTGATCCGGATATAAGGATCATCGCATCTTACTGGGTCTAGGCATTTGAATCCTCCTTGGACATTAAAACATGTTTGCTGCACGTTACAAGTGTGATTCCCAACTTCACATTCATTAACATCTAAAACAAAGAAAAAAACAGAAAACATGGCATTGTAATAAATGTATTAGTGCACATTGTTCATTCATAATATAAACAAAAGTTTTTAAAAACTTGTAGGGTTGACCCCAGTGGTAAGATTCAATTTTTTTTACTACTGGTTCTGTGGCCGTGGCGAGGCTTGGTGGGCGTGGCTTGGTGGGTGTGGCAGGGGAAGGATACTGTAAAATCTCCATTCCCTCCCCACTCCAGGGGAAGGTTACTGCAGAATCCCCATTCCCTCCTGATCAACTGAGACTCGGGAGACAGAGAATAGATGGAGGCAGGGCCAGACAGAGGTGGTGTTTACCAGTTCCCTGAACTACTCAAAATCTCCGCTATCGGTTCTCCAGAACTGGTCAGAACCTGCTGAATACCATCTGTAGTTGAGCCCATAGGATGAAAGACTGGGGTCTCCCACTTCTGGGTCTGCATATTCTGGCCCTGCCTTCCTGGCTTTGAATAGCAGCCTGGTGATTTGGACTGCCAATTCATACCCTGCAGTGACTTACTTATAATCTCCCTTTAATCCCTTAATTCTTAAAGACTGCAGAAATTCAGTATTGGAAATAAAACAACTGTAATGCAACATTCAGATCACAGTGATTTATTACACTTTGCTTATTCTTTGCACTGAGCAAGATTATAAATTGCTGTAGAAAAGCTGTAAGATTCCTGGTTAAAACATTAATCTATTTCTATGGAATAAAATAGACTCTTGAAATAGATATTTTCCTACTTTATTCTACTCATTCTACCTGGATTAACCCTTTTCCTGGAAACCAATAAGTTAATTCCATGGCAAACTAGGGAACGCCACTGATTTATGGCTTGGTCTAGCAACATCTCTTGAATATGCTTCCTTCCATGATGTCCCAAATTTCCCAAAAGCCCCAAAATTCATGAATCCAACAAAGAGGAGGCCTCTCTCTCTCTCTCTCTCTCTCTCTCTCTCTCTCTCTCTCTCTCTCTCTCTCTCTCT